TCCTGCTGTCTCTTTGGGGTGAGCAGTCCAATCTACGGCCCTTCCTCTCTGGGACCTTCTGCTCTTCCTGCAGTCCTGGGGTGTGGCTGGGCTTGATACTTGCTATTCTCTCTGCCTGTTGCGCTGCTTCCAGACCACCCTCCCCATCTATCTCTGTCTTCCTCCCGTTAGGTAAGAATTCTGGGTGCTTCCCACCTCTCGTGGGTGCATCTCTGAGTGTCATGTGCGTGGGATGCTCCTGGCATTAAGTGGACACAAGGCCAGAGATGACAGGAGTCCACAGTACAGACTGCAAGCTCTACCTTGAGAACGTCTCCAAGTCCCATGGGGCAATCACGGTGGCTGCGAGCCCAGAACTTGCTACTTGCCATCCTCTTAACTCATGTTTTTGTGGCTGTTGTGCTTGCTTTGTGGTTTGACTATCCTCAAATTTTCTGGGGGTGCTTACTGTGTGAATCAGGACAAGACGGCCTGGGTTTAGCCCAGAGCTTCAGCCAATTATTCATTTCATACTCGCCTGGCGATTCTCACGATGTCCTCCGTGCACCCATGCTGAGAGGTTATCGTAGTTCATATCATTTTCCTTTTATTTCCCATGTTTCATAAGACATTACGCATGTTTGTTTTTCAAAAGTTTGCAAGTAGCATGTAACTTGAGAATGAGGATGGCCAAAAGGGATCTACAAGGAGGGGAGGGTTTTCTGTGAGGTGGGGTCCTCCCGCCAGGCTCTCTGGCCTTCCTTTGTCTGGTTGTTAGCTGCACATTCTGGGGGGAGATCCCTGTCTGCCCTAACCACTGGCATTTTCCATCTTCCCCATTAAACGTGGATTGTGTCTTTTGAACTTAAAGGCTTAAAGGCTTTTTAAAAAGATTAAAGGCTTCCCCTGAGACTCCTGAACGCCCCCACTCCCATCTCCTCCTCGCCAGATGGGGGAGGGCTGCCAGGCGGTGTTAGGGACACCGCCCTTGTCTCCCTCCTCTCTATCATCCTGTACCTTTCCCTCCCAGCCAGGTATTGGTGCTCCTCCCTGTTTCCAAGCCTACCCATATTCGCCCAACATCCCTGCAGCTGCTGGGATCCAGGGAGTGAAACCCCAGCGTGGGGAACCAGCAGGCGGCATAGTGGCTGGGGCACTGGACCCCACATAGCTGACCGGTTTGAGTTCCGGACCTGGCAGCTTAGTACTTGTGCTGGGCACACATGAGTGCATGTCCAGAGTCCCAAGAGGAGAATAGAGGAGAGGGGACTGTGGCATGGCCAACCTCCCAGGGGTGATTTCTCACTTTCTTTCTCTCAGTCTCTCTCTGACTCTCTGATGAATGCATGCACCTTATAGCAAAAAACTCTCAACAAACAAAACAACAATAACAAAAACCCAGAGCAAGAAGGGCTCCCCACCCACACTAGGACTCCAGTCTTCCTGTAGAGACCCCCCTGTAGCACACCACCTGGGCCGCTAGGATCTCACTGACCCCACCCAGAGTCTGCCATCTGGGCAGTGGTGTCAAGTAGGGGGAGAGCAGGGGCAGGATCTAGACCACCGTAAGCCCTCCCACAGCCCTCGGCCTACCCGGGTGCATTGACGGAGGCCCAGTAGCAGCAGCCCCAAGCCTTTGGGTTCATTCACCCTGGAAGTGAAAGACTGCCCCTATCCAGCTCTGCTTGGGAAAATCAGAGTCTTGTGAAAGAACTAAAGCACCATGGCCCTCCCATAACCTCACAAAGGAGCTACTTCTGCCTCTGGGAAATTCTGGAGCCTGCCCGTGCCAAGGTGTGGCATCCGGGACTGCCTCAGGTTCACAGAGCTGTCTTGTCACATTTACAAACCGTTGCTGCTAATGAAGAGAAGACTTCATCATCACACAGTTCAGTTTTATCTCAGTCCTTGCTTCCTGTAATTGATCCACCCTGAGAGATGCCCTCCAGGCCTGGATTTTCCTAAGGACCCGGCTCACTGAGGCTCAAGCTGTGGCCTACTGGTGCCTTCCCTGGGCTGCAGGTAACACACTTGCTTCAGCCCTGGGCACCGACTGACACCTCTGCCAGAGCACGGGAGGCCTTCTGACCTCCAGGTCTGTGCACCACTAAAATGTGCCTCCACGGTGGATCAGGACAAATTCACATGAGTTGTGATTCACTGGATCCAGGGATCATTTGATAGTAAATACCTTTGTAATGACTTGGAAATGGTACATGTTTCCAGACTCCTCTGGAACCCATGGAATGAGAACTGACTTACCAAGAAGATGCAAGAACATGACTGGGCTCCCTCGCTCTGCTGGAAAGGGGAGAGGAGAACCGGGCAGCGAGAGCCTCGGGCGAGGCAGTGTGGACAGTCTCCATAGGCTGAAGGAGAAGCAAAGTGCCCTCCGGGAGACCTGTGTCTGGCAGGACAGCCTGGCTGGGAGCAGCCTTGGGACAGTAGTGTGGTGTGGGTGCTGTGAGGATGCTGGGGGTAGCGGGGGCTGTCACCTTACCCAGTTTCTGTAGTACCTTCTCCCAGAGGGTCACTGAGTGGTGGGTGGAGCACATCCTGGACAGCCACTGGGCTTTCCCCTCACTGCGGGAATGCTCAGAGACCCTGCAGGGGCTTGGGCTGCGAGCCTGCCATGGAGGCTGAGTTCTCCCCTGGGTCCTCCGTCTTCTGGGGTTAATGAAGTAGAAAGAATCATGCAGCAGCAAGAGTTGAACCCTCTGAGCCTCAAAGTTCCTATCGGCAAAATGGGGACAACTGCAACAGTGACACTATCACAATGCAACGGCTGTGAAAGTGGCCACTGTCTAAACAGGGCCGTTCTGAGGGGCTGTACCCTGGGAGGTCAGAGTCAGCAAATCTGTCGAGCTTTAGTGCAGGGTTCTCAACCTTTCTGAGTAGGTGACTCCTTTTCTTCCCATTTTTTTAAAAATTTGCTATAAAGTGAGTGTGCTTGCATGAGAGAGAGAGAGAGGAGAGCGAGAGAGAGAGAGAAAGCACTCCCTGTGGTGGGGGAGGGCTGGCCATGTCACAATCCTTTCTCTCCCATTCTCCTTTTAGGAGTTCAGGCATACACACACACCTGGCATGTTTTCCAACCACACGGTTATCCACGTGG